ACAACAGAAGTTTATTGTTTCTAGTTCAAGAGGTTGGTGGTGGTTTAGTTGCTAAGTCGTGTCTGACTCTTCTACGACCTCATGGACTATAAGATGCCAGGCTCCTCAGATGTCCCAGATCAGGGTGTTAGCAGGGTTGATTTCATCTAAGTGAAGCATCTATTCTTGAAAGAGAAAGTTATGCTGAATAAGATTTGGAAGTTTGCTGCCTTTTTTTTTTTTTTAATTGAATGCATTCCCAAACCTGAGAAGTTGGAGCCTTCATGGCTTGAAAGTACCAAAGCAAACAGCTCAGGCCTGGTAGAGAAACTGGAAATTTAGAGAAACCTCAGGGTAGATGGATACCAAAATCTTAGTGTAAACTGTCCAATTCCACAGCTGACTGCTAAACTCCACTGGGACAAAGGGGACTAGGCTAGAAAAGCAGCAACTGGAAGTTGAAAAAAAAATTAAGCAGAGATTTCAGCTGCTGTCCTGCTGGAAAGACAGAATTTGCAGCTTCAGTCCAGGAATGTAACTCAAAAAGAAAATAATCCTCAAAAGAATAAAATAAACTAAAATCAATAATATACCGTCTATAATGTTTAGTTTCTAATCAAATATTATCAAACAAGCAATGAAAGCATGACCCATATTCAGGAAAAAAGTCATTCCTGCTCTAACCGGGGCTAGATACTAGATTTACCAAATAAGTATTTCAGACCAGCAATTATAAATATGCTCAAAGAGGTAAAGGGCTATATGGTCAAAATGGGCAAACAGATAAGGAATCTTGAGAAATGGAAACTATAGAAAATACAGATAAAAATTCTAGAGCTGAAAAATATAATGATAGAAAAAAAATCAGAAAACAAGGGGCAGATGAAAAAAACAGTGAACTTGAGTATACATCAATAGAAATTATCTAATTTGGAGATCCATAAAAGAAAACTGGACAAGACCTTAAAGACCTGTAGGATAATACCAAACTGTCCAGTGTGTAATTGAAGCACTACAAGAAAGGGAAAGAATAAAGTTGAAAAGAATTTGAGGCAAAATAGTAATTAAAAATAACTCAAATTTGGTAAGAACATTAACTTATAGACTCAAATTCTATCTCTGTGTGTATAACCTAAATTAAAATATTTTAATGCAAATGAAAGAGATAATTCAGATAGGATTGGAAGTCAATGAAACAGAAAAATGGGTCAGTGAAGCATATGAAAACAAAACTGGGTTTTTGAAAAAGTCAATAAAATGGGTAAATCTCTAGCTAGACTGGTTGGGGATAAGGGAGGAATGGCAAATTATAAACATAAAGAATGAGTGAACATTATTAGAGATCCTAACACATCAAAGGATGGTGCAGGGTTCTTACCAACAGCCTCGTGCCAACAAATTTGACAATTTAGTTGAAATAAATGAATGATATCAAAGACAAATCACAAAAATTAACTCAAGAAATAAAACCTAAATTGCCCGTTATCAAAGAAGGAAGTTGAATTTGTAACTAAAAACCTTTAAACAAAATGAAATGCACGCCTTTATTGGTGAATTCTAGCCAACATTAAATAAAAATAATATTTTAATAAGAATAATATGAGGTGGGAGGGGGGACCGGGATGGGGAATACATGTAAATCCATGGCTAATTCATTTCAATGTATGACAAAAACCACTGCAATGATGTAAAGTAATTAGCCTCCAACTAATAAAAATAAATGGAAAAAAAAGTTAAAAAAAAAAAGAATAATATAAACTCTTCCAGAAAACAGAAGAGTGAAAAACTTTCAAATAATTTTATTATTATTCTGATACCAAAACTAGACAATGACAATACAAAAAAAGAAAACCACAGACCAATATTTCTCAGGAACACAGATGTAAAATCCTCAATAAAGTGTTAATGAATCAAATCCAGTCATATATACAGGGAGCATCCCATTGACCAATTGGTATTTATCCTAGTATTCAATAACTTAAAGTTGTTTCAACATTGAATAAACAATAAAATCTACTAGAGAATAAAGAAGACATTATATGATCATCCCAGTAGGTATGAAAAGAATATTTGAAAACATATGACACATTCATATTTTTTTAAACCTCTCAGTAGAATTTCAGTAAATTAGTGATAAAAAGGAACTTCATTAACCTGATAACAGGCATTTAATAAAAAACTCTACAGCTAACATCATACTTAGTGTTGAAAAACTGAATGCTTTCTTCCTGTGATTAAGGAACAAAGATGTCTACTCGCATCAATTTTACTTAGCATCAAACTGAAGGTCCTAGGCATTGCCATCAAGACAGAAATGAAAGGAATATGAATTGAAAAAGAAGAAGAAAAACTGTTTATTTGCAGAAGACATTATATCAAACATGGAAAAGCTTAAGCATTCTACAAAAAAAATCCTGAACAACTATTAGGATTAACAAGTGAGATTAGCAAGGCCTCAGAATTCAAGATGAATATAGAAAAAAATCAATTTTATTTCTATAAATAGTAAACCACCATATATAATACTGCTTAAATATGAAATACTTAATGAAAAATTTAACAACATATGCATAAAACCTGTATAGGAAACACTGTAATGCATTACAGAGAGAAATTAAAGAAACCTAAATAAGCAGATATATTCGTGTATCAGAAGACTCAATATTAAAGTGTCAAATCCTTTCAAACTGCCCAATTTGCAAACCCAATTAATATTCCAGTTCTTGGAGAACTGGAGAATAAACTGACAAGTTCATGCTAAAATCTATATAACAATGCCAAGGGCCTAGAATAGTCAAAATGACTTTGAATAAAACAAAGCTGAAAGATTTAGGCTATCCAATTTAAAGACTACAATATAGATCATGGAATAAAATGTTTTAGCTCATGTAGGTCTTTTGCATTTCCAAACTTAAAAGACTGATATAATTAAGTATGTAAAGTAACTAGAATTCTTATACATTGCTAGTAAAAATATGAAATGGTACAACAATCAGGATATTTCTTATATGGTTAAACATATACTTACCATGTGATTTGTTAAATCTCCTCTTAGGTATTTACTCAAGAGAAATGAAAACATGCTCACTTTAAGACTCATACTCAAATATTCATAGCAATTTTATTTATAACTCCAAAGGCTGCAAATAACCCAGCTGTTCATTTATTGGTAAAGGGATAAATAAATTGTTGTATATCTTCACCATTATACTACAACATTATGCTAAGTGAAAGAAATCAGGCACAATGCTATGATTCTATTTACATGAAATTCTAGAACCATTAGAACTGTTATTGAGACAAAAAGCTCAGAGTGGCTAAGACTGGGGGCACTGACTACAGATAGGCACGGAGGAAATTTTCAGGATGACCAGAAATGTTCTATATTTTTATTGGGGTAGTGATTAGTCAAAATCTATGTTACTGTACAGTTTAAATTGGTGTACTAATATATTTACATACAATTTGTATGTAAATTGCATACCAAAGTTGACTTACGAAACTTCAATGGATTCCCAAAAGCATGAAGATAAATTCAATAAGCAGGCCCTCTAACATCTGAGCTCTGTTTACCTCTCCAGCTTAATCTTTTCTAAAAAAATTTTTATTGGAATACAGTTGATTTATAATGTTGGGTTAAATCCATCTTAATTTTAAGTCAGTCTCTACCTCACTGTCTGCTCAAGCTATGCTGGGCTACTCATTCCTTGAAACACATTTTGCTCTCCTCCAGCTGTTGATCTTTGTAGCTCCTTTTTCCTCAAATGTTCCCTCTTCTCTCAGCTCTTAAGAAAGTCATCCTAAGACCCCTGGTATATGTCCCAAGGGTACCACTACTTTTTAAGTACATTCTGTACAATAATAATTACTTACTTTATAATTGATAATCTTGTATAAAGTATGTTTTCCTCCTCTACATTAGAAGCCCTATGAAGCCAGGGATATCTATTCTGTTCACCACTCTTCTCCCAATACCTGATATATAGAGGAAGTCTTTACATATTTGCTGATAAATCAGCCAAACAAAAAAACAATAAAATTAAAAATTAAAACCCTTAAATATTAGCATTTTCAATGTAATAACATATTAAAAATGATAAATGACATTAAGTCATTTCTTTTAAGAAATAAAGAGAAGTTAAATATTTCAAATTATTTCCATAGATAGATAAAGGAATGAAATGAAATTCAACACATCTCCCAATTATCTTTTAATGAACCAGAAAAAGGATGCTTTAACAAGATAAATATTCGAAACTAACAGTATATCTAATAGTGAAATGCTGGAGACAAGGATTATCACTATTAGTGGAAAACATTATTCTAGAAACATCAGCCAATGCAATAAGGGCAGGAAAAAAATAAAACCCAGAAAATGACACAATTATATGTATTAATAGATTATGACTGTCTACCTGAAAAATCCAAGATCAATGAATGAAGAATTTTAGTAAGCAAGTTCTGTAAGGTGGCCAATTATAAAATACACAAACATATACTGTAAAAACAATGCAGCAGTGATATAAGTATAGGCAGATCAATGGAACAGATAACAAAAATGTAGGGAGAGAATTAAATCTTTGCCACAAAGAAATTACTATAAAACTGATCACTGGAGAAGCACGGATTAATTAACCATACTGAGACACTGGGCTTCCCAGGTGGCTCAGGAGTAAAGAATCTGCCTGCCAATGCAGGAGATGTGGGCTTGCTCCTGGAGTTGGGAAGATACTCTGGCGAAGTAAATGGCAACCTACTCCAGTATTCTTGTCTGGGAAATCCCATAGACAGAGGAACCTGGCAGGCTATAGTCCATGGGGTCACAAAAGAATTGGACATGACTTAGAGACTAAAACAACAACTGGGACATTATGAACAAATATATGAAACTATGAGCTGATATAACACTTCATAATATTTGATTTTATATCCTTTCATAAGGGAAAATGGTGATTATTTCTTTTACATGGTTTCCATTTGCTTTGGCAAATCATACCCCAACACTCCCAAGCAGACCTTACCGGCATGGTGATCTGGATGGGCTGCCGTTCTCCACTCTTGGTTGGGGCCACACCTTCTGTGTCATATGTTCCTGTATATACGATTCTGTCCCCATCAGGCTCTTTAGACTTCAGTTCCAGTGGGACAACCACACCACCGATGGAAATGTTCCTGCAATGGACTTGAGTTGACCATACATGGTAGAAATTAGCTTAGGCACCCTGTCCTGGTGTGGACCATAACCCTGGGCAAAAACCATACAGGGGTGGCTAACAGAGACACTGTGGTGTGATAGAAAGTTCTGAAACTTTAGGGAGCTTGTCTTTCCCAACTAACCAGTCATGTGAACCTAGATCAACTGCTTAATCTCTCTGGATTGACATGAGTATTCTCATCCAGAATACTTGTACAAGGCTAAGTCAGATTCTGTCAATGGTCTTCCTCTTTAGTTTCTCATCTGTGGAACTTTTAAAAATCTAGCTATACCCAGCCTATCTCAAACACTTGGCTTGGGGTGTGGTTTGGGCATTTGTAAATTTATTTTAACATTGCAGAGGTGATTCTAATGCACAAGTAGAATTCAGAACCACTGAATGAGTTCTCTAATAATTTTTTTTTCTGTTCCAACAACAGAACATTAGGGGTCCCATGATTTGGGGGGTACTCTTCCTCAAGCCAGGCATATACCAAAAATTCTCACTGCGTCATTTTTTCATGTTAGGGTAATGGTTCTTGAAGTGTCATCCCTGGACCAACAGTGTCAGTATCACCTGCCAATCTATCAGAAAGCAAATTCTTAAGCTCCACTCTAGTGCTAGAGTTCACTATTTCTACTTAAGGTGAGGTTCAGTCATCTGTGTTTTAAAGAGCCCTCCAGGTGATTCTCATGTACATTCAAGTTTGAGAACCACTGGTTAAGGCATTGAAGCACTTTGATAAAATTAAAGTATAACAAGAAAAAAAGTTTTATCATTAACACAAATTTGTTTTTAGATTAACTTGAAAAATAGAGAGGGAAGTACCCTGAGGGAACTAGACCAGGTAACTTGGTAGAAGGGTTTGCCAGGAAAGATGGGGAAGGAAAAGTCTAGATCATATCTAGATGCACAGAACACTGGGAAATGTGAGAATAATGGATGCTTGGAGCTCTTGGGGATGCTGACAAGTAAATGGACCAAGAGCATCAGAATCAAGCCAGGTTTGATTCTAGGTGTTTCAACTGGAGCTTGGCACCTAGAAGGCCAATACAACTTTGTTGAATTAAGGTCTACTGGGGAAGACTTAAGATATCAGCCCTCTCCACCCCACCTTCCGAGCTCAGCAAATGGTAGTAGATACAATACGGGGTGGTTTCTTTCCTCTTTCCACATTAGACTTCACACCATGCTTAGGTAGAAGCTGAGAGGTAAAGGACTCCACCTCTCATGGTAAAGGATTACTTCCCCATAAGTTCCTGCACCTTCCTCACTGACTTTCTAGCCTGAGGTTTACAGGATACAACCACCTCTGATAGCAGAGACGAGATAGTTCCTGTCACACACAGATACACACACACCACCATCCTTTTGTTGTAAGATGTTGCTAATCCCATCACCAGGCTGAACAGACAATTCAGGAGAAAAAGAAACACACCAGGCAAGGGAAACTAGGCCTAAGCCGGCAAGGCTGCCCTCCGTCTTGCTTTTCCAGCCCCGGGGTTCCGGGCTCATAATGGCTGATGGATGAGTGGCGAGCATCCTTAAGAAGCCCCAGTAATCAGCCACCCCCAATTTTAAACCTCATTACTCAGCCTTTCTGCCTCCTTCAGTCTTGCAGAACCCGGCGGAGATGAACCGGAATTGCGGTAGGTGAAGCCCAAGGCGAGCTTCTCCCCTCCGCCCCAGCCCGGCCGCCTAAGGGTCCGCATCAATGGCTGGACAGAAGGGATGAGAAATTTACAAGAAAAAGCCCCCGATCCCCTGGCTTCCAGTTGCAGTATTAAACACCTCACCCTTCGAGGCGTGGAGGGAAGCGAGAATAGCGAATGAGATGACCTAGGGAGCAGAGAGCTGACCTCATACCTCCCCCCCGCCACAAAACCTCCTGGGCCCTCCGGGCGAGGGGAGAGGTGCCCGGGAGAGGCTCTGGCTGTGCCGGGAGCCTCGGTCCACCCAGCGTATCCCAAGACAGGCCGGTCAGCCGCGGCGCGCGCCTGCACTCACTCGACCTGCAGCGTGGTGGGCTTAATCTTCACCTCCACCTTGTAGGAGGAGCCCGTGAGCAGCTTGATGGTGCGGTTCTGGCCGAAGCGCTGCCCGTCCACCTTGTAGAAAACCGGGCCGTCGTTCGGCTGGATGCGCAGGGCGATAGAGAGGCGCACGAGGCCCGGCAGGTCTCCCATGGTTGGGCGCGGGCGGGCGCGGCGGCTCCGGGGGGGCGGAGGACTGAGCCGGCGGCGACCAGGCGGCTGGAGCGCGGTGGGCGGAGAGGAAGCGCGGGGAGGGAGAGGGAGGTGGCGGAGCGGTGGCTGCCGCTAGGAGCCCGCCGCTAGGAGCCCGAGCCGTCACGGCCAGCAGCCCCGGCTTCCCAGGAGCAGCTCCCCAGGCTGTGGTCCCCAGCCCCCCTCGGCGAGGAAGCGGACCCCAGGGACAGCTCCGAGGTGTCGTGCTCCCACATCCCCCACTCCCCGAGCCGCGCGCTCCGCGCACCCATGGGGCTCACTCCGGCCCGCAGGCCGCGCGCGGGCCGATCCGCGCAGCTGGAGGAGAGAGAGTTAATCCTGTTTACGCATTACAATCCCCTTCAGCGGGGGAAGCGGACATTTAGACTCCTCCTAGGGCGGCGCGGGGCGGGCGGAGGGGAGGATGGGGAGGGACGGGGTAGGTCCTGGGTTTAAGAGGCACTACATCCAGCCGCAAGACCTCGGAATCTGGCTATCCACTCGCACAGAGAAGGGCTGTGGACACAGTTGCTCGCGAATCTGGCCCCAGCCAGGCAGGAAGAGGCTGAGGGGCCAAAGCGGGGCAGGAAACCGTTAGCTAGTGATTTTAATCTCAGGAAACGTATCTTTCCAAAGTTTAGGGGACAAGGCTGAGGATACACGCAATTCCATCTAATGTGGACTGCAAACCATTCTGGATTACGAATACGCTCAAAAAAAAAAAAAGAAAGAAAAGAAAAAGAAAATAACCAATACATATTCAAGGAGCCACATCTTCTCTTGGGTGTGTATTTACATTATGCGTGTCCTTGTCTCAAGAATGACACCGTGTAATGAATCACATACATTTACACTGATTTTGTAGGATGAGCTATTATAACCCTGTTAAAGGAATTGGCATGAGTCTAAGGCATGGTGACGGTGGCCAACAGGAGGGATCAGTAAAAAGATTATTGGCAGGGCATCCGGTGCGATCCCCGCGGAGTTCAGATTTGCATATTAAGCGCGCAGAAGTCGGGTGACAGCTCGAGATTTTGGGGGCAAGGGAAGACCAAGGGTGTTATGGCTCCAGTGGGAATGGCTTCAGATAGCGGGGAATGATCACCTGCTTCAGCACCACCTCGTGGATAGTACCAGGGCCGCGGAGCACACCTGGGGAATGGAGAAGCAGATTAGTGAGGACGAAGCGGCGAGATGAGTCCGTTCGGTGGTTTTTGCTCACTCACGGTAATAATACTTTTCTTTAAAAATAGCTCCATCTCGAAGGTGATTTGTTTCCTACATTCTACAAATATAAATCAGCTTTTTTTTTTTTAAAAGGAACAAACCTGGTCATCTAAAAAAAATAAATCAGCTTTAATTCTCATTTCAGGATTGTCTGCAATATTCCCCACACTACTCTTTGAAGGGTATTAAATTCTGTAGAGCTGCAGAATTGGGTATGGTCATTTGTTTCCCTGACATTGGATAGATTTGCCCAGCACACCACAGTTACTAACATTGCTGCTACTTTGCTTCTAAAAATACAGATATATATCCATATATATTAATTTGTTTTAAAAAGTGAAAATGAAAGTGTTAGTCCCTCAGTCGTGTCTGACTGTGACCCCATGGACTGTAGCCCGCCAGGCTCCTCTGTCTATGAAATTCTCTAGGCAAGAATACTGGAGTGGGTAGCCATTCCCTTTGCTAGGGGATCTTCCCCTCCCAGGGGTTGAACTAGGATCTGCTGCATTGCAGGCAGATTCTTTACCATCGGAGGAACCAGGGAACCCATATGCTTCTTATATGTAGTGTATTTTGGTTCCCTAAGAAGATTTTGGCAAAGGATCTTTGCCTCTTCAGATTTCCCAATAGTGTCTACCATACTGTCTTCAGCAAAAGGACTCTTTTAAGTTTTTGCTAATTTAACCAACTTGTTCAGACTTCACTAGAAGGGAGTGAGTAATGCTGGAGGAAATGGCTTGAAAATATTCCTGGCAGCAGAAGCAGTTGGTGCAGTGATTAAGCCCAGAATCACTACAATCAGACTTGTTAAAATCCACAATCTACCACTTTGCTAGTTGTGTAAACTTGTGTAAGTTTCACTACCTCTTGGAAATGGTTTTCTGATCTGTAAAATAAGGGAGGGGGAAGTAGATGCTTTCTCTTTGATATGGTTGTTGTGAGGATCAAATGAGATAATGCACGTTCCAGTGCTGAATCTAATATTAACAACTGTTATTAGGTGGAAATGCAAATAGTCACTATTTGGGCTTCCTGGGTAGCTGGAACAGTAAAGACTCTGTCTGCAATGCTGGAGGCCCTGGTTTAATCCTTGGTTTGGGAAGATCCCCTGAAGAAGGGTATGGCAAACCACTCCAGTATTCTTGCTTGGAGAATTTCATGGACAGATGAGCATGGTGGTCTACAGTCTTTGGGGTCGCAAAGAGTCAGACATGACTGAGCAACTAACACACACACAAGGATGCTCACCATCTAATAGAAGAGTCAGAAGAATGCAGATTGAATCAGTAATAAAAAACTATTTGGCCTATCAGTAGGAAAAATTTTGAAATTTTTTTAATTTAAAAAATTTTACATTCAGTGTTGGTAAAGATGTGGGGAATTCAGGCCTCCTAGTAGTAATCTGATGAATTTATTCCAACTTTATTAAACCATCAGTTTAGTCCAGTTGCTCAGTCATGTCCGACTCTTTGTGACCCCATGAACCACAGCATGCCAGGCCTCCCTGTCCATCACCAACTCCAGGAGTTTACTCAAACTCATGTCCATCGAGTCAGTGATGCCATCCAACCATCTCGTCCTCTGTCGTCCTCTTCTCCTCCTGACCCCAATCCCTCCCAGCATTAGGGTCTTTTCCAATGAATCAACTCTTTGTGTGAGGTGGCCAAAGTATTGGAGTTTCAGCTTCAGCATCACTCCTTCCAATGAACACCCAGGTCTGATCTCCTTTAGGATGGACTGGTTTGATCTCCTTGTAGTCCAAGGGACTCTCAAGAGTCTTCTCCAACACCACAGTTCAAAAGCATCAATTCTTCGGCACTCAACTTTCCAACTCTCACATCCATACATGACCACTGGAAAAACCATAGCCTTGACTAGATGGACCTTTGTTGGCAAAGTAATGTCTTTGCTTTTTAATATGCTGTTTTAAGTTGGTCATAACTTTCCTTCCAAGGAGTAAGCATCTTTTAATTTCATGGCTGCAATCACCATCTGCTGTGATTTTGGAGCCCAAAAAATAAAGTCTGACACTGTTTCCACTGTTTCCCCATCTACTTGCAATGACGTGATGGGACCAGATGCCATGATCTTAGTTTTCTGAATGTTGAGCTTTAAGTCAAGTTTTTCACTCTCCTCTTTCACTTTCATCAAGAGGCTTTTTAGTTCCTCTTCACTTTCTGCCATAAGGGTGGTGTCATCTGCATGTCTGAGGTTATTGATATTTCTCCCAGCAATCTTGATTCCAGCTTGTGCTTCTTCCAGCCCAGCGTTTCTCATGATGTACTCTGCATAGAAGTTAAATAATCAGGGTGACCATATACAGCCTTGACGTACTCCTTTTCCTATTTGGAACCAGTCTGTTGTTCCATGTCCATTTCTAACTATTACTTCCAGATCTGCATACAGGTTTCTCAAGAGGCAGGTCAGGTGGTCTGGTATGCCCATCTCTTTCAGAATTTTCCACAGTCTACTGTGATCCACACAGTCAAAGGCTTTGGCATAGTCAATAAAGCAGAATTAGATGTTTTTCTGGATATGTATATATAGAGTTAGAAATCCTACTTTAAAAAACCTATCCTTCAGAAGAATTAAAGGCATCATTATATTGTATATAATTGGATATATGTAATTGTTGTTGTTGTGTTATGGGTGCTTATTGCAGCTCTGATGGTGAAAATCAAAACCAAGCATAAATTGAATGTTAACCAATGAATAAATGGCTGAAAAAACTTCTCATATACCCATACTATAGAATTTATGCCACTGTTAAAATAATAAATTGCTTGTTGTATTGGCAAACATACGTTTAGAACTATTAATGATAAAGATGGGGCAGCTACACAGTGGCAAACTGTGGAAGCCTGAGGGTATGCATTTTTATCTAGGGCTTCCCAGATGGCACTAGTGGTAAAGAATCCTCCTGCAATGCAGAAGACACAGGAGACACGGGAGATGTGGGTTTGATCCCTGGATCGGGAAGATCCCCTGGAGAAGGAAATGGCAACCCATCCCAGTATTCTTGCCTGGAAAATCCCATGGACAGAGGAGCCTGGTGGGCTATACAGTCCATGGTTGCAAAGGGTTGGACACAACTGAGTGACTAAGATAAGTTCTTTGTTGTATCCCCAGAATGCCCAGAACAGTGCCTGGAACATTGTAGATACTCTGTAAGTATTTGTTGAATTGAATTTCTGTCTTATTTTAAACATGTCCTTATATGTTTTTTCCATATCTTGAAAAGTAATTATATCCATATGGTTTATGTAGAATAATAAAGAGAAAAAAAATCTAATTTCAAATAACATCTATAGTATGATACTATTTAAAAACACTAAAAAAACCCACAAATTTATATATGCTTTTATTAGCATATTAAAAAATTAGAGGGTATACAGCAAACTTATTGTTAGCTACTTTGGTGGATGGGGCTGGGAAGAAGATAGTAACTTTTGGGAATTGTTTGAAAGTCTTTTTCAAATTTCACTTTTTTTCTCAACTTTTTGTTCAACAGCCCCGTGGTCTCTAGCCACTTTCCACCTAGGTATTGAAGAGGGTGTTGAACATGGAGTAAGAGTCCTTCAGTTTGAATCCTGGCTCAGTCACTAATTGGTTTCTTTTACGCAAGGCACTTCAATCTTTGCATTTCATTTTTCATTTTTTGCAAGATGGGAATTAAAACACTTCCTTCCCAATGTCATGAAAATTAAATGAGAAAAGGGAAAGCATTTGAAAAAATAAATTACTTTCCAAATATGAGGTGTTACAAATGCTGAGCAACTTGCATTAGGAATAACATTTGCAGAACAATAAAATGCAACTTCTTAAGATAGAATTAATAAATGTCAAAGTAATAGGAAAATTTATCGTCATTGATATAAATGTGCAAAGAATGTGGGAATGGAGTTTAATGGGTGTGTTTGTATCTCAGTTCTGCTGATTACAAGCTGGCTGACCTTGAACAAACTAAGGTATTTAGCCTATCAGAACCCCCTTATTTTTAAAAATCATTTGTTCAATGATAGAATCAAGTAAGAATATATAAAACCCACAAGAGTATCAGTCACGTATAGAAATGCAATAAATTATAGCTATTTTTTTTGTCTGAAACAAAACTATAGTTTTA